TATGTACTGGTCACACAGCCAAGGTAACATGTAACCTGAATAAACCTATCTCAGTTTTATAATAGTGTATTAAGTTAAAGTTGTGTAACAGATATGTACTGGTCACACAGCAAAGGCAACATGTAACCTGAATAAACCTATCTCAGTTTTATAATAGTGTATTAAGTTGTGTAACTGATATGTACTGGTCACACAGCCAAGGTAACATGTAACCTGAATAAACCTATCTCAGTTTTATAATAGTGTATTAAGTTGTGTAACTGATATGTACTGGTCACACAGCCACAGCATAGAATCAGAGAGACAGTAACATAAAACATAATTGGGGTCAATCACTGATGACCAGGTAGCTCAATTAGTTAGAGCATCCATCTAGAGGTCAGAGGTCCCAGATTCAACACCTGGGCCCGTGTTCATGTAGCCGTTCTCATGTTCAAGCATGGATTTTTTTGCTCAAGCCTAATTTCTTGTTCTGGTTTATAACTCAATAAATAAATCTTATTTTGTCAATGATTTGGAAACATTTTGATGAGACTTATAACCAAATACTGTTTTCAATGCTTACATTTGACTTTTTCATCGATCGACATGATCTAAGCGAGTTACCAGAAAGTTGGTTTGAACACAGATTCCATGCTTGAGCATGAGAACGGTTTCATGAATACGGGCCCAGGTCTGGCTGTGTGTTTTTCCTCTCCTGTTACAGTGGTACCTGTGGCCTAACCTTGTAAAAAGAACTGCAACAGAATACCACAACCTTGGTTGTGAATAATGCTGTCTTTATGGACAAAGATAAAGAAAATAAGGGAGGAATGTACTGGAACTAGTACTGGACTGGTTCGATTGTCGGCCACCAGTTAGTGCAATTGGTATATATCATCTATCTAGTGTTTGTAGGTCCAGGTTCAAATCCATGCATTTTTTCTCTCCTGTTCCATATGAACATGACCTTGACCTGTACAATCTCATTGTGAAATAATTTATGGTATCTTGCTATGTGCTGGCTGAGGTCCTAATGATGGGATCATTGTTGTCAGATTACCTAACACACAGATTGTGTGGAATGAGTTCCAGTTCTAAAGTAGGCAGGCATAATAGCAATACATAATGTACTAGGGTAAGTTATATCAAGGAATAACCAGTGATTGGGAGGGTGGCACAACAAACCATTTTCCAGTATTTATGCTTATTCAGAGGGCTGTGTGCTTTATATCTATGATAAATCCTTCAATCTTAAGGGACATTTAAAGTTGACTGTGCAAATCAGCCCATGACCTGCCTTTCCATAATCACTGTATGATTATATTTAATTTATTTGAAAAATGATTTTGAAATAGTGCAATGTAATCAAAATTTTACACCATACAACATGTTTATCAATAAAATGCTGATTGCGAACTCATGATGATAACTCAGACTTATTTTTGTTTTCTTGCAAAAAGTTATTTTGTGTACAAATTTGAATGGACATGAACCCATTTCTTGCATCTAACCTTCAGTTGGTTATATTTAGCTGAAATGGCAAGCATAGGCAACTTTTTTCTTTTAACTCATTCTCCCCTGAAGACACATATGAACTCTTCCATTTCAAAGGTTGGAATAGTTTATTATGAAATTTCAGGGGTGATTGAGTTAACAGGACAATCAGTACTGAATACATAAAATGATACAGTAAATTGTTATGTATGGAGGGATGAATATCCTCTCCATGGACCTTTAGTTTAGTTTTTCATTTTTTCACCAGGCATGACACTATAATGTTAGGACATTTGGTATCACATCACAAAGCTGATGAAATTATTGCACATGGAAGTTGTGTAACGCCAGACACTGCTACTGTTCTGGAAGCCACACAGACGATGTCAGCATATCTTCACACATGATAGTCTTTAAGATGAATTGGCACAGATATCAGACAGAATTCTGTACCTTGAATGCCGTATTGAGCTTGTATCAGCAAATAATTGTACAGGAGTACATCATATTAAGATATATAGTGTCCTCCTGTAGTGGTTATGTATATCACTGTCGGTGACCAATACTTGACGTAACATCAGCATATGTAACCCTATATGATCCCACACATGTACTGATGCTTGTCTGGTTCCCTGAAAGAAAACTCAAATTCTCACCTTCATTTTCATGCTCACCTTGGCTGAATGAACAGGGTAAGCTGTGTGATACTGCAATGTCTGTTATCTGTTACAGTTGATGTTGTATATATATATATAATGACATCTTTTTCCAAAGGTATGAAACATCATCATTTCAGTGATTCAGAATTGTACAGGCAAAATGGCTGATCGCCTTGTCATCATTTCAGTGATTCAAAATTGTACAGGCAAAATGGCTGATCGCCCTGTCATCATTTCAGTGATTCAAAATTGTACAGGCAAAATGGCTGATCGCCCTGTCATCATTTCAGTGATTCAAAATTGTACAGGCAAAATGGCTGATCGCCCTGTCATCATTTCAGTGATTCAAAATTGTACAGGCAAAATGGCTGATCGCCCTGTCATCATTTCAGTGATTCAAAATTGTACAGGCAAAATGGCTGATCGCCCTGTCATCATTTCAGTGATTCAAAATTGTACAGGCAAAATTGCTGATCGCCCTGGGAACAGAGGGATGGGGTCACCTATGGATAGAGATTCAGAATTGTTCACATATGAGGTTAAGTAGAAGGGCAAGATAGATGATTTCATAGAGTTAAACATCACTTTAATTGATAATTTGTTGAGCTTTATTTCAAATAAATTTGTTTAAAAGAGACTCATAAGGTGGTAGGGATTCAAATGGGTCATATTGATTAATCAATTGCCCTGCATAGACTTTGCCATTTTATGCTGTATATGAGTGTCATTGTGGTACTTGAGACATTTTGAGCTCACCTGTTCGTCAACTTTCCCTTTAAAACGCTACTTGTCCTGAATGGCCCAGTAGATTTGGACTAAATTTGGTCTGGACCATCCTTAGGCCAAGGGGACTCAATTTTGTATAAATGGTGGGTTTGGACCCTCTGCGGTCAGAGAGGTGGGGTCAAATAGGGAAATTAGAGGTAAAAAAACTTTGAAATCCTTCTTCTACTATAGGAATTAAGGGATTTTATACCAATTTAACCTGGAACATCCTTGGGCCAAGGGAACTCAATTTTGTATAAACAGTGGATGTGGCCCCCCTGGGGGCAGAGAGGTGGGGCCCAATAGAGCAAATAGAAGTAAAACCTTTAAAATCCTTCTTCTACCATAGGGGTTAAGAGATTTCATCCCAATTTGGTCTGGAGAATTTTTAGGTCAAGGGAACTCAATGTTGTATAAACGGTGGGTGTGGACCCCCTGGGGACAGAGAGGTGGGGCCCAATAGGGCAAATAGAGGTAAAACCTTTAAAATCTCTCTTCTACCATAGGGATTAAGGGATCCTTGGGCAAAGGGGACTCAATTTTGTATATAGAGAGGTAGGGCCCAATAGGGGAAATAGAGGTAAAACCTTTAAAATCCTTCTTCTACCATAGGGATTAAGGGATTTTATCCCAATTTAACCTGGAGCATCCTTGGGAAAAGGGGACTCAATTTAGTATAAAGGTGGGTTTGGACCCCCTGGGGGCAGAGTTGCAGGGCCCAATAGGGAAAATAGAGGTAAAAACCTTTGAAATCCTTCTCCTACCATAGGAATAAAGGCATTTTATCCCAAGTTAACTTGGAGCATCCTTTGGCCAAGGTGACTCAATTTTGTATAAATGGTGGGTTTGGACTCCGTTGGGGCAGAATTGCGGGCCCAATAGGGGAAAAAGAGGTAAAAAACCTTTGTAATCCTTCTTCTACCATATGAATTAAGGGATTTTATCCCAATTTAACATGGAGCATCCTTGAGCAAAGCGGACTCAATTTTGTATAAACGGTGGGTTTGGACCCCCTGGGGGCATAGTTGCTGAGCCCAATAGGGGAAAAAGAGGTAAAAACTTTTGAAATCCTTCTTCTACCATAGGAATTAAGGGATTTTATCCCAATTTAACCTGGAACATCCTTGGGCAAAGGGGAAAGTTGCAGGGCCCAATAGGGAAATTAAAGGTTTAAATCTTTAAAATCTTTCTTCTTCTGTACCATTGGAGGGATTTAATGTAATAAGAATAATTTCCCATGATTGCTTTATTATCCAGGTGAGCAATACAGGCCCTCTAGGCCTCTTGTAAGATTTTGTAATGCAGTGTCTCCCACATGAAAATGTTGAAAGAGTGACAGATGTGGTATAAGTATTGGTCAGCACTTTCCAACAGTCATAGGCAGCTCCTTGATGAGTATATATAGATATGATACTGACCCATGCTTTTTGTATGTGTATATTGCTTTGGCATTTTCCTTCATTTGATTTTTTCTGACCTATTGCTTTTTATACGCCCGTCGAAGACGGGGACGTATTATGTTATCACGTGAGCGGGTGGGTGGGCAAGCGAACGATGTCCGCTCGATATCTCGATTAATTATTAACGGATTAACTTCAAACTTCACAACAAGGTTAATTACCATGAAACCTTGGACAAGTTGGTTAACCGCCATTATCCGACCGTAGTTTGTGGAGTTATGCCCCTTTATGGACTTGCCGAAACAGTGTCCGCTCGATATCTCGAGTAATTATTAACGGATCCCCTTCAAACTTCACAACAAGGTTAATTACCATGAAACCTTGGACAAGTTGGTTAACCGCCATTATCCGACCGTAATTATTGGAGTTATTCCCCTTGGTTTCATTAATGCGATGCATGCGTTCGATGATGTTGTATTGCACTCATTGATCTACCAGTTATGTTGAATGCTTTCTCTTTTAATATCAATTACTTACAAATATTTCATATATTTCAAGCATACAAACAACTGCTCATTCAATGTGTGACGGGCGTATTATATACCGCACGCGGTAACCTTGTTCTAATTATCTATTTTCAGACTCCTTGTCATATTATTTATAAATCACATTTGATTTTTTGACTTTTGTATTTTTTCAGATTCCTTATTACAGCAGCTATGTTCGTGTCTGACGTTCCCAGATGAGGACCTCAGGGCAGCCATTGTATACATATTTGTGTACCTACTTGTTGGGGACTGGCCAACAAGGTTGTCCTCCCTCATCCACCGACAGATCGTACAGGAGGTGGTGTGTCTCCTTAATACTGCCAAGGCCCAGGGACTGCTCCTCAACTGTCTAGGTCAGCAGTTACTCATGTCAAATTATTATAAGATTTTAGAAAATGATTCTAATTAATTTGAGCAGTATTTATCATGATGATCACAAAACTAAGTGATGTTTGTATGTTCAGGATCGATGTGAATGTTGCACAATGTACTGTAAATCTGTACACATCCTTATAATAATTGTTAACCACGGTTTGTGTGTTGTAGAATATTTCACCTTAGCAAACTTGATCACAAATTTCTTTCAAAACCAGCTCGATTTTGAAAAATAAGTCTAACCATAAACCAACCAGGAACTGGAATTTTTTTTTATCAGCTTTCAAGCAAATTATATTGAATTGTTTTACGTCATGTCCGTCCGTCCTTCCCGTCCTTCCTTCCCGTCCTTCCTTCCCGCTATCTTGTCCGGGCTCTATCTCCTGCACTACTTGACACTGGAACTTCATACTTGGTGTATGGGTTCACCTTGGTAAGGTGGTGTGTCGTATATCAAAGTAGGTCACTCTGACCTACATTTTGACCTTTGACATACATCAAAGAAAAAGTTTGTCTGGGCTCTATCTCCTACACTACTTGTCACTGGAACTTCATACTTGGGGTATGGGTTCACCTTGGTAAGGTGGTGTGTCGTATATCAAAGTAGGTCACTCTTTTTTTCACCTTTGACCTGCATCAAAGAAAACGTTTGTCCAGGATCAATCTCCTACACCACTAGTTACTGGAATTTCTTGCTTGGGCCATGGGTTCACTTGCATTGAAGGAGAAGCATACATATATAGTGTCACCAGATGCAATTTAATGGTAAAACGGTACCACTAACCAGTAAACATCCACCAGATTTATTTGCAATAGTAGCACTGACACTATTTCTTATTGAATATAGAATGAGTTCCTGCACAAATTTATCATCTGTGCATTTCACATTCGGTGGGGGACTATAATTCGCCGAATTATCTTGTTGACTACAACTTTTTCCTGGGTTGTAAACTGGAGTTAACTGTTATGTGTAAATAAATGTTTCTGACATTATATGAATGGTATTGGAGAAAAAAGGCCCCTAAACAAGTGATGATTTATATAGAAAAAAATCAACTCACTCAAGTTAAAGAAACATAATAACTTACTGAAGTATTGGCAAGTTTGACCTAAAATGAAAGTGAGCAATCCAGGGCCAAGAAATCCAATGTATGAATAAGGAGTTTGGCCCCCAAGAGCACGGCAGAGATGTGAGGTCCAAAAGGAGAAAAAAAAATGATATTGAAAGATAATTCCTTTCATATAGGCAATGGTTAGCAAGATTCAAACTTGAATATTGGAATGTGCCCTAAAAAATTTAAGATAATTACACTTTTATCGTTAGATAAGACGGAGTATTTTGACCACGGGAGCTGTGTCTTACATAATTCCACCATTAATATGTTTTTATCGGAATATTTTCCTTATCAGCAAGTGGCAGAAATGTTGCGCCAGACTGAGGCAGACCTTGACTGTGATATAATGGATGTGTTACATACCTACTCCAAGTATCTTGTATCTCATAAACACTGAGTATGTATATCTACCAGATATACACAGGGATTGTCTATCAATCATTTAATATGTGATTCAGATGTTGGGAAATTCAAGATGAAATAAGTTATCAAGTATAAGGATAAAGTTACATCTAGCTTCAGTAGGTATCACTAGGAGGGGCGACTTACTTATCTACACAGATAACATACACTGGTACAGTGATATAGGGCTTTGCAAGTTTGTGACCTGATCGGGGAGACAAAGAAGGATTTTTTGAGAATCGATCTATAAAAAGCATTGATTAAAAATGGTATTGATACAGATTTATTGTCATAAATTTCCCATGATATATAGGATATTCCTTTTTACTTGACGAACACTTGTACATTACTAAACTGAGCGGGATAAGTTTTAGGAAGAAAAGTGTTATCATTCCAGTTATGATATTTATATGGTGTTTATCAAGAAACAAGGAACAATTTGTATTACATTTGTAAAAGAGCTTCAGGTTACTGTCCTAATAGACTTTCCAAAACTATATGACCAATTACAATGAAATTTTCTAGGAGTGATACATTGAGAAATACTTTATGATAAATGACTAACTTTAGATTTTTTTGTATTCAAAATGGCAACCATCGCCTCTAATTTTCTGAAAGAAAAAAAAGGTTGTACTTTGAGTTCGGTGAGGTGGACTTGATTAACACTTTGTGAGAGTGGTACAGCGGGGCTGTTCATTCATAATCATTAAAAGGCTGACATAAACTTTGGGACTCGAGATATCTGCTTTGGCCTCTGATTGACTGAGAGTCATTGAAAACTTGCATGGTTTAGAGGAGTGTTATCAGTATGTCTGTGACTTACTATTCTAGTTTAGAGGAGTGTTATTAGTATGCCAGTGGCTTACTATTCTAGTTTAGAGGAATGTTATTAGTATGCCAGTGGCTTACTATTCTAGTTTAGAGGAGTGTTATTAGTAAGCCATTGCCTTACTATTCTAGTTTAGAGGAATGTTATTAGTATGCCAGTGGATTACTATTCTAGTTTAGAGGAGTGTTATTAGTATGCCAGTGGCTTACTATTCTATTTTAGAGGAGTGTTATTAGTATGCCAGTGGCTGACTATTCTATTTTAGAGGAGTGTTATTAGTATGCAAGTGGCTTACTATTCTAGTTTAGAGGAGTGTTATTAGTATGCCATTGGCTTACTATTCTAGTTTAGAGGAATGTTATTAGTATGCCAGTGGATTACTTTTCTAGTTTAGAGGATTGTTATTAGTATGCCAGTAGCTTACTATTCTAGTTTAGAGGAGTGTTATTAGTTTGCCAGTGGCTTACTATTCTAGTTTAGAGGATTGTTATAAGTATGCCAGTAGCTTACTATTCTAGTTTAGAGGAGTGTTATTAGTTTGCCAGTGGCTTACTATTCTAGTTTAGAGGAGTGCTATTAGTATGCCAGTGGCTTACTATTCTAGTTTAGAGGAGTGTTATTAGTATGCCAGTGGCTTACTATTCTAGTTTAGAGGAGTGTTATTAGTTTGCCAGTGGCTTACTATTCTAGTTTAGAGGAGTGTTATTAGTATGCCAGTGGCTTACTATTCTAGTTTAGTTTTTTTCATGTATCTCATTATTCCTGTAAAGAGCTATTAACTTTAACTGATGAATTTTAATACACGAAGGGAGGATGGACTCCTACAGACTGACACACTTGATCCCTAATAGGATTTCCAATTTGTAACATAGTGTTTTAACTTGTCATGACTTGGATTTGTGGATATTGGAGTTGCCAAGGGTAATCAAGTGGCCTTGTAAGCTGACAATAATGGCTGATTTATACTCAATTTGTCTTATAACGTATTTTTGTGGTGATGTAGTCACTTTAGAAAGGGGAAACTGTTAGGCTACTGCAGCACAGCTGTGTAGGAAGGGAGTGTATAGGATCAGCTACAGGGTTGAAATTTCTTTAATGACACACCACTGCAGCTCATAAATTTTACATATCATAACAGTTGTTTAAGTTACAGGTTAATGTTGATAGCTGTTAGGTTGATAGTTGTGAAGCTAGAACTTTTACATTCTACTATAAAAAGTGTTATTTGCCACCCAACATAGTGCAAGTTACCTTTGTGTAAATGTCCATAATTATCTCTTAATGATTTGATCTGTAAATATCACTTATATATTGCTGAATCCTTTTTCCTTTTTTTGGACAAGAAAAAGCAATACACACTGTATACAGGATTTCCTGTCTTGCATACCTGTAATCAAATTTCCCTACCAGGAGTCGAACCCATGACAACAGATTACTAGCCAAATACTCAATCATATGAAATATGTCCCGAATTGGGGGAACTCATACTTGCCCCACAGGGTTTTGATTAATTTCGAGTTTGATCTACTTAACACTGTGTGTTTCTTTCATTACATAACTCAAGTGACTGTTGAAGGCTCATGGACCTCTTGCTTTCTAACAGATACATTTTTCCTCAAAGGAATTGGAAGAAAGAAATTTTCATTATTACAAAGGTATAGTGGTTCCTTGATGTTTAGAAACCAGGTGTTCTTTATTCTTTAGTTTGTTGGGTTGTTCTGATGGTATCAGATAGTTACAGACAAATGAGGAAGATGTAGTGAATGTGTAAGGTTTTTATGTGGAATTTACCATCTGTTAGGATATGTAATGGTTATTGGATTAAGGTTTAATGGTTAGTTGAGACTGGCTGGGTGTAGCATCCAAGTATGGCCTGGCTTCCTCATGTACAGCACATACATGGCAGCTGTATACACCTGGCCTGTAACTCTCCCTAACAGACAGGGGCCCTGATCCTGCTCTCTGTATATCAACATTCTTACCAACAGACAGGGGCCCCCTTCCTGCTCTCTGTATATCAACATTCTTACCAACAGACACTGGGGCCCCGATCCTGCTCTATGTATATCAACATTCTTACCAACAGACAGGGGCCCCGATCCTGCTTTCTGTATATCAACATGTCTTACCAACGGACAGGGGCCCGGATCCTGCTCTCTGTATATCAACATGCCCTTCCAACAGACAGGGGTCCCAATCCTGCTCTCTGTATATCAATATGTTTTATCAACCTACAGGGGCCCCGATCCTGCTCTCTGTATTTCAACATGTCTTACCAACAGACAGGGGCCCCAATCTTGCTCTTTGTATATCAACATTCTTACCAACAGACAGGGGCCCTGATCCTGCTATCTGTAGATCAACATTCTTACCAACAGACAGGGGCCCCAATCCTGCTGTCTGTATATCAACACTCTTACCCACAGACAGGGGCCCCAATCCTGCTCTCTGTATATCAACATGTCTTACCAACAGACAGAGACCCCAATCCTGCTCTCTGTATATCAACATGTCTTACCAACAGACAGGGGCCCCGATCCTGCTTTCTGTATATCAACATGTCTTACCAACGGACAGGGGCCCGGATCCTGCTCTCTGTATATCAACATGCCCTTCCAACAGACAGGGGGCC